TGGGGAGCGGAAGGAGTTCGTGTGTCACTGGGGGGGCTGCTCCAGGGAGCTGAGGCCTTTCAAGGCTCAGTACATGCTGGTGGTGCACATGCGCAGGCACACTGGCGAGAAGCCGCACAAGTGCACGGTGAGGCACCCCCTTCCCAAGCTCGGACTCCCTACCTAGACTGGGGCTCCCCACCCAGGCAGAGTTCTAGGACTCCAGGATCTTAGGAACTCTTGCCTCAGGGAACCAATATTCAGATTTGTATTATATGACTATGTTTGTAGAAAGACGAACATGTGGATACTGGGTATGAGAACACTCTCTTAGACCTAAACGTTCTTCTACCCTTGCTTTTAAAAGAAACTAAAACACTTTTGTGGGCCCCCTGAAGTGCTCTGGGCCCTAGGCACTGTGTCTGCTCCTCTGCCTAATGGAGACGCTCAGTGTCCCAGAATGACCCCATCCAAAGAAAGCGTAAGGTTCTCCCACAGGGAGATGTGCTCTGGCTTGACCCCAGCCGCTCACTGCCATCCCCACGTCCCTGCAGCCCCAGATGAATGCCAGGATGGATGCCACCGGGCTTCTTGTCTCCCTAGCTCCCCCTGCCCTCCTCCCTGGATTCTGGGGAATCGCTCTCTCACCTTGAGTCATAGCCCCTGATGGATGTCGCTTCTGAAATTTATGGTTCTTCTAATCTTCACGTCCTTCTGTCTGAGAGCTCTCTTTTGACCCTGACATTCTCTAGTTTGAGGGGTGCCGGAAGTCATACTCACGCCTCGAAAATCTGAAGACACACCTACGGTCACACACGGGTGAGAAGCCATACATGTGTGAGCACGAGGGCTGCAGTAAAGCCTTCAGCAATGCCAGTGACCGAGCCAAGCACCAGAATCGGACCCACTCCAATGAGGTGAATGCCCCACCTAAGAGACCCTCCCCACTTGAGAAGCCAGCTCCTGGGGAGGTTCCCTCATAAGAAATCCCTTAGCTCAGCACCCACTCCAGAGGTGAGTTCCCCCCCACAACCTAATTCACCCAGATATGGTCTTTCTGAAACCAAAAATTTCCACTTAAACCACCCCACTCCACCCCTACCTCTAACCAGCCAAAGGGCCAACCTAAATAGACCCATTCCACCTGGAGAAGACCCTGGTCCCTTCAGCTCCTGACTTCATGAGGCCCCCTAGACCTGGCCTGTCGGTTTTCCTAATCTTTCCCTTGATCCTCTCATTTTTTGCTCTGAGGATCCCACTCTCTCCTTAATTCCTTGGGTGCTGTGCATTCCTCCCTGACCCCCTCTCCCCCTGCTGCCGGCACCCCTTCTTCCCATTCCTTCGGCACTCTCCTGCTCTGATTCCTTTGCCTGCTCTCTTCCCTGTCCACTCAACAGAAGCCATATGTGTGTAAGCTCCCTGGCTGCACCAAACGCTACACGGATCCCAGCTCCCTCCGGAAACATGTCAAGACAGTACATGGTCCCGATGCCCATGTGACCAAGCGGCACCGAGGAGATGGCCCCCTGCCCAGGGCACCATCCTTTTCCACCGTGGAGCCCAAGAGGGAGCGGGATGGAGGCCCCAGCAGGGAAGAGAGCAGACTGACCGTGCCCGAGGGGGCCATGGTGAGCTGGCCTCTGTGCCCAAGTCCTTCCAGTCCCCTCCCAACTCTTCTGTGTCCCCCTCATAAAGCACTCTCCTGTGGACGGTGCTCCAGTCTCTTATCCCAATGGTGGTCCTTGGGTTACCCCACATCAAAAGATTTTAGTATAATTAATTATTTAATTGGCTCAACAAACTCTTACATGGGGTTTAGTAAATTATTCTAATTTATGTATCATTTACACGTACAATCCACACGTAATATGACTGTAATTTCACAAAGTCCTCACAGCAACTTCACGAAAAGGAAACTTACTCTCCACATTTTCAGATGACGAAACTCAGGCATAGAGACAAATTATCCAAGGTCACAGAACGAAGTGCGGATTTGAGCCTTGAGGCAGTCTGTGCTCCAGCCTAGGCTCTTATTGACTCCTCTCCAGTTTGCCTGAAGCCCTCATCTGCTCGGCCCTCCCTGTGCCTGCCAGCTTGCCCTCAGTCCCAGCAGTCACTGGGGCACAGGCTTTGGCCACTCACCACGTTCAGGGAACTGTGGCCGGATGGGGGGATTGTAGGGGACGCCCTCAGCCCTCATTTCCCCCACAGAAGCCACAGCCCAGTCCTGGGGCCCAGTCATCCTGCAGCAGTGACCACTCCCCAGCAGGCAGTGCAGCCAATACAGATAGTGGTGTGGAAATGACTGGAAATGCAGGGGGCAGCACCGAGGACCTGTCCAGCCTGGATGAGGGGCCTTGCGTGGCTGGCACCAGTCTGTCCACTCTTCGCCGCCTTGAGAACCTCAGACTGGACCAGCTGCATCAACTTCGGCCGATAGGGCCCCGGGGCCCCAAACTCCCCAGCCTGACTCACACTGGTAAGACCTCGGTGTAGGGGTAGTTGCTGGGCTGAGATCTGGACCTTCTCTGAGGTTGGAAGGAGGACTTCACTCCTCAGGGCTGCCCTGTAGCACCTTTGGACAATTAGAAAAAGGTCCCCCTTCCTCAGAAAGACACTTTCCTTCCATCTATCAGGTAATCACGATATACAAAGTATAATGGGAACGCCGTTCCCTAGGGCTGTGTAGTGTACAACCTATGCAACGGTTCGCGGTGGTTCTGCAACATAGAAAGGGCATGGAAGGAGACAGAACTGGGTGGTCAGAGTTAAGGAGCCTGTCCCTGGGATCCGAGGCCGAGGCCGTCCCGTGGGGGAGGCAGGGTGAGGTTCAGAGGGCTCCCTGACCACCCTGCCTTTTCTCCTCCCTTGTAGGCACCCCTGTGTCCCGCCGACTGGGCCCCCCCATTTCTCTTGACCGCCGCAGCAGCAGCTCCAGTAGCGTCAGCTCAGCCTATACTGTCAGCCGCCGCTCCTCCCTGGCTTCCCCTTACCCCCCTGGATCCCCACCAGAGAATGGGGCATCCTCTCTGCCCGGCCTCGCGCCTGCCCAGCACTACCTGCTCCGGGCAAGATATGCTTCTGCCAGGGGAGGTGGGACCCCACCCACGGCAGCGTCCAGCCTGGATAGGATGGGGAGTCTCCCAGCACCTCCCTGGAGAAGCCGAGCTGAGTATCCAGGATACAACCCCAATGCAGGGGTCACCCGGAGGGCCAGTGACCCGGCCCGGGCTGTTGACCGCCCTGCCCCAGCCAGAGTCCAGCGGTTCAAGAGCTTGGGTTGTGTCCACACACCTCCCACCGTGGCAGGAGGAGGACGGAACTTCGATCCCCAACTCGCAACCGGTGTGTACTCACCACAGCCCCCCAGCATCACTGAGAATGTCGCCATGGATACCAGAGGGCTACGGGAGGAGCCAGAAGGTGGGATCTCCATGATAGGCAGTGGTCTGAACCCCTATATGGACTTCCCACCTGCTGATACTTTGGGATATGGGGGACCTGAGGGGGCAGCGGCTGAACCTTATGGAGCTAGGGGTCCAGGCTCCCTACCTCTTGGGCCTGGCCCACCCACCAACTATGGGCCAAACCCCTGTCCCCAGCAGGTCTCCTATCCTGAACCACCCTCTGAACCATGGGGTGAGTTCCCTTCCCACTCCGGGCTATACCCAGGCCCCAAGGCTCCAGCTGGAGTCTACAGCCAGTGTCCTCGTCTTGAACATTATGGACAAGTGCAGGTCAAGCCGGAACAAGGGTGTCCAGTGGGTTCTGATTCCACGGGACTGGCACCCTGCCTCAATGCTCACCCCAGTGATGGGCCTCCTCACCCACAGCCTCTGTTCTCCCACTACCCCCAGCCTCCTCCTCCCCAGTATCCCCAGTCAGGTGCCTATACCCAGCCACCCCCTGATTATCTTCCCTCAGAACCCAGGCCTGCCCTGGATTTTGATTCCCCCAGTCACTCCACCGGACAACTCAAGGCTCAGCTGGTGTGTAATTATGTTCAGTCTCAACAGGAACTGCTCTGGGATGGTGGGGGCAGGGGAGATCCCCCAGTGCAGGAAACTCTCTACCAGAGTCCCAAGTTTTTAGGGAGTTCCCAGGTTAGCTCAAGCCCTGCCAAGGGCCCAGTGGCCACATATGGGCCTGGCTTTGCACCTAACCTGCCCAATCACAAGTCAGGCTCCTATCCTGCCCCTCCACCGTGCCATGAAAATTTTACAGTGGGGGCCAACAAGACTTCCCATAGAGCAGCAGCACCACCCCGACTTCTGCCCCCACTGCCCACTTGCTATGGGACCCTCAAGGCGGGAGGCACCAACCCCAGTTGTGGTCATCCTGAGGTGGGCAGGCTGGGAGGGGGTCCTGCCTTGTACGCTCCTCCCGAAGGGCAGGTGTGCAACCCTCTGGACTCTCTTGACCTTGACAACACTCAGCTGGACTTTGTGGCTATTCTGGATGAGGCCCAGGGGCTGAGTCCTCCTCCTTCCCATGATCAGGGGGACAGCTCTGAACACACCCCACCTCCCTCTGGGCCCCCCAACATGGCTGTGGGCAACATGAGTATCTTACTGGGATCCCTGCCTGGGGAGACACAATTCCTCAACTCCAGCGCCTAAAGAGAGGAATCCCAGCAATCACAGATCCATTGCCTAAGGGGTTTCCATCCCCACAGAGAAGGAAAGGAGGAGGAGCCATAGCTCCCTGGGATGCCCCAGGGATGGGAGGTATGGGTTGGGGCTGTATACTCTGGTCTGTATATGTTTGGGGGAGGAATTTGACAATGACACTGTTTCTGGATAATAAAGGAACTGCATCAGAAAGTGCCCTCCTTTACCTGTTACTATCTTGGGGGAGGAATGATGACAAGGAACGAGAAGAGAAGTAGGGGTTAATCTACTCACTTCCCTTTTTAGGGAGGCTCCCCCACCCTATCCCAACCCCTCAAGTCAGACTCACAAAGACAGTCCTCTGGGAGACACAGGATTTAATGGGATGTCCTCAAAACAGAACATCCACTATCCTCACCCCCCACTAAAGGGTACCCAGCAGAGATCAGTGGAACCACATTTTGTCTTCCTCCTTGCCCCAATCAGGGGAAAAGGCTGCTGAAGTCAGTGAGCATGAGTTGGACTAACTGCCCAGGGTAGAGAGCATGGGCAGCTGGGTCAGATGTCTCTTGCTCTGGCCGAAACAGGGTAGGCCCAAACACGATTCCCAGGTTGTGGGGGGTCATGCGGTTCTTATCTGAGTGTGCTATCACCCTGTGGGCAAAGATCAGGAGAAGGGGCTGTAAGGCAGCAGCTTCACCACTTCAAACAGATCTAACCCTTCAAAGGTCAGAGCAGGAAAGAGTTCGCTTCGGGACCCCCCCTCCGTGTGGTGGCTGAAGGAAATGAAGCCGAGAGCCCCACAAGGGGAATGGAGATGAGACCCTTGGGGAGAAGGGTCCCATCAGGATACAACTTGGAAGATACAACCCAAGATTTGCCAGCCTCTTCCCAGCTTCAGAGACCATCCCTAGAGTCTCATAGACTGGGCAACTCTAATTCAAATGGCTATCCTCTCTCAGAAGTCACTGCCTAGGCCCAGCTCAGCCAAATAAGCCACAAGTCACTGCCCAGGCCCAGCTCAGCCAAATAAGCCACGACCACTGTCCCAACAGGAGACAAAGAGGCAGGGAGAAGGGAGAGGTGAGATCGCCCTCATTTCCCTCACAGCATCCCTGGGCCTCTCTTGATCCCCGCTTCTCTGCCTGATGCCCTGCACAGAGGTTGCCTGTTTCCTCCATCTGCCTGCGGAGCAGGTGAGAAACATAAGTGTCCCCTATCTTCACTGCATCTGAACACAGTCCCTGCTGCATGCCCCGCTCTACCCTCCCTCCACGTGCACAAAGATGTTCAGTCTTCCTGACCTGCATAAATGTTCCAGGAGGTACCGCAGAGTGTCATGGTTGGGCCTGGGCATTGAGCCTATTAATTCTCGGATTTGAGAGACGCGCTGTTCTGATTCCGAGAGTGCTAGAGGGAAAGAGTGAGGGAAGGGCACAGGGGTGAGGCTAGGGTAGACTCGCTACTCTTTCCCACACCCACGGAAGGCACCATTAATCTACCACAGCTTTCTTTTCCACTGAGCCCAACTGCAGCTTTATTATCATTTTTAAAATATTTTATTAAGTAATCTCTACACCCAGCATGAGCCTCAAAGTCCCGACCCTGAGATCAAGAGTTGCACACTCTACCGACTGAGCCAGCCAGGTGCCCCTAACTGCAGCTTTAGACTTTTTATTTTTATTTCAAGAGTTTACCTATTTATTCATAAGAGACAGAGAGAGAGAGAGAGAGAGAGAGAGAGAGAGAGAGAGAGAGAGAGAGGCAGAGACACAGGCAGAGGGAGAAGCAAGCTCCCTGCAGGGAGCCGGATGTGGGACTCCATCTGGGACTCAGGGATGACGCCCTGAGTCAAAGGCAGACCGCTGAGCCACCCAGGCATCCCTAAACTTCTTTTTAACTCAGCCCTCTAAATATTCCATTCACACACACACACAAATAACTGGAGTTGGTACAGGAGTTGAAACCTGTTTTCCACCTCTGTGCTCAGGATCGCAAGGTATAAGGGAAACTCTAGTCTTGACCCTATATGCCTCACCCCCATACCTAAAAGTATTGCCCAAAGCTCTCATCCCTTACCAAGGGCAGCGCGAAAATCCGGCAGGAGCAGTGGAGGCACCAGAGGCTGGGGTAGCTCCCTGAGAAAAAGCTTCAGGGCTCCTGTGACCACGTGAATATCATCCCACTCAGCACTGTCCAAATCTAGTCGGCCTTCTGGGAGGAGAAGGAGGTACAGAGGGGCTCGGGGCTTATGGGGGACCAGAGAGACCAAGAGACTGGGAGGTCATGAGTTTGGGAAGAGATCCAGTTAAGGTGGACCACGGGAATACCTAGGAGATCCGCACGGAAGACAGGCAGCAGAGGTGGGGGATGGGGACAAGCCACCCAGGAGCAGGACATAGAGGGATCCAGAAGGACCAGGGAGGATTTCGGATGTTTTAGGGTCTGAGGGGCCTTCCATGTAAGTACCTTGTCCTGGCTGTTCTGGGAACACATACCGCCCATCGGAGGTGATCGCCCGCTCTGCAACACGGATGAGAAGAGGTCAAGAGCTAAGACGCAGTTTTAGCCAGACCTCCCTGTTCTCCCGGGACCCTGAGAAACTGCCTGTGGTTCTGAGGCATGAATTCTTAGTGCCCACGTGCCCACTAGCCTCCTCACCTCTGTCCACCAGGAAGCGAAGTTTCTGGACCACAGCCAGGTTCCCGCTCACCCGGTAAATGCCATCCACGTCTAGACCTAGAACATGAGGCAGGGAGCAGATAAGGACTCCTGCTCTAAGTTCTGTAAGGGGGGAATGGGGCGAGAGATGCAAGGGTGGAGAGGGAGAAGGCTGCAGGAAGACTAGGGACAGGGACAGAGGACTCCAGGCTTTGGCCTGTTGGAAGGGGATGTTGTGGGGTCTCTGGAAAAGTGACCTCTCTTATCCACAGCAGCAATGCAGAGCCGCACAAAGCTGGGCACCGTGTCCCCTTCCCGCTGGCACAGTGATTCCAACTGGCAGCCGAACACCTGATCTGGAGATGCACAGAGTGAGGTGGGCAGCTTGTGGCAGCATCACCCATGGAAGCTCTTCTCAGCACAGGTTTTCACCCCAAAGTTGGGCTGGCCCTCCCTGCTGCCATTCCTAGGCCTGGGCAAGGAGGTACACCCTCCTCCCCCCCCCAAAAAAAAATAAGCAGTAGAGGAGCAGAAGACCAGTGATCCAGCTCTAGGGCGCTCTCCCCTGAGTCTCACTGAGGCTTGCTCACCCACTAAGGGGGCTGATGCCCAGATCAGGACCGAAAAGGCGCTTTGCATAAACACTGCAGGGGCAGGCAGGAGGGCGCGGGGCCCACTCACCGCGGAGCAGGCCGCGCTCCTGCAGGCTCTGCAAGGGCGGTCTCTTGGCGATGAGCCGCTTCAGCTTGTTCCGCACGCGGTTCTGCTCGGTGCCTTCGGGACAGCGCCCTGCGGGAGGCAGGTGGACGGGTGTGAGAGCCGCCCCCGAGCCCGGGTCGCCCCGGGTCCCCGGGGTCGCCCCGGCCCTGCCCTCACCAGAGCTCCGGCGACCGCTGAGCCGCAGCAGCGGCTTGGACACCGGCTCCGACTCCTCTTCGTCGTCCTCCCCGCCGCTCAGCTCCTCCAGCTCCGCGGGCCCCGACCCCGACAGGCGCAGCTCCAGCGGGTTCTCCCGGTCCTAGGCCGGGAGGGGGCGGCCAGAGTCGGAGATTGGAGAAGAGACAAACCTGCCGCTCCGGGCGACGCCAGGGGACCCGGCCCGGCCCCGGCCCTGCCCCGAGCGCCGGTCCCTACCACCGCGGAATCCCACCGCGCCCCCCAGCCTCCCGCCAGCGCCAGCCACCTGCCACCTCCCGCCCCCTCACCAGGCGCTCGATGACCGCCCGCAGCGCGCGGTGCCAGGCTCGCAGCTCGGCCTCGTGGTCTGACTGCAGCAGGAACTCGTGCCCAGGGACCGTGCGGATCTGAGGCACCAGCGCACAAAGGGCTGGAGTCAGCGGAGAGGAGCCGAAAAGCCGGGGGGCCAGGGGCGACCCGCGCGCACCTCGGGTCGGGTGGACTTTGGGGTACACGCGGGAGGGCACTCACGTGCAGGACGTTGCGGCGGCTGGACAGGTGGCGACCGTGGGCCAGGGCTGCCCCACGCAGGTCCACGCTGCTTTCGGGTCGGCTACCCGCTGGTCCCTGGCAATCAGGAGAAACTGAGGCCCGGGCGCCGCTCCACCGTTGCCTCGCTCCCACCCGGGGGACTGTGAGGACGCGGCCGGGCTGGCTCCTCTACCTCCCTCCCCCACCTCCGCCCCACCGGCGTCCCGAACCCCTGCTGCGACCCCCCCCCCACTCACCCAGAGGGAGGAGGGCCCGGCGGCCGGCGGCTCCCGGTAGAACACCAAGCTGTTACCTGCCAACACCACCCAAGACGGGCTCCAGTTCTTCCTGCAGGGGCGGAGGGGGCAGGGAGCGGGGGGAGCGGTGCGAAGGCCACTCAGAGCCACGGGCGGCGGCGCGGTTCTCACACTCGGCCCCACGACCCCGCCGCCCAGGCCCCGCTGCGTTCGCCCTGCTCACCTGAGCTTTCGCCCCCCCTGGGCGATCTTGGTCACGTTGAGCAGGCCCGACTTTTCCACCTCCTGCGGAGCGGAGCGAGGGGTACTAATGAGCCCCCCAGCCCTCCCCCACCAGCCGCCAGGGCTTTCCCAAGGGGGTGGCCCAGGAGCGAGGTCCTCTACGGTTGGCGGCTGGGGGAGCGGCTGTGCAAGAGAGGATACCCAGAGAACCTCAGAAAGAGGAAGACGTTTCTACTGGAGCAGGAATTGGGGGTGGGGCGGGGCAGCGAGGACCTTGGTGGGCCCAAGGAAGTGGGTGACCTACGTGGGGGTCGTCCAGGACCTGCGGCAGAGGTCGGGAGGGCTGCAAGGCTGAGGGCAGGTCTGCCGGCTGGAGCTGGGAGGTGCGCTGGTGGAGGCAGGGTGAGCCCTGGGGGAGGGAATTGTGGGGCACAGGTGGAGGAAACGTCAACTTCAGAGTCGCTGCTATAGGGGGAAGAAGGGTGCGGATGTGGGTGAGAGGCAGGGGGTGTGATGGGTAATGAAGAAGGATGTCTTGCATAAAAGAGTAGTAAAAAGACGCCTTTTCCTCCGGGCGACCAGGAGGAGGGGGGAATCTCACCTGGGGGCTGCGCAGTTCTGGGGGCGCTGGGTCAGCTTCAGAGCCCTTTGCCTGAGGTGGCAGGAGGCCGTTGTCCCGACTCAGGGTCTGCATCCCCTCCATGGAGACGGGGTTCTGGGGGGGTGGGGTGAGGTGCAAAGCCACAGCCAGATGCCACCTCAACTCGCTGTCAACACCCTTCTCAACAATTTTCCGATGGCAGTCCCAGGGAGAAAACATGCTCCCTTGGGGATCAGGAGGGGAAAGGAGGGGATTGAGGGGACAAAGGAGCGGGCAGGGGGGAGTCTCACCATCTCCCGCAGGCGAGTGCGGCGTGGGGGCTTCCAGGACTTGCAGCCAGTCAGCGAATGTATGTAGAAGCAGCGTCCGGAGTTGAGGTCCAAGTGCTGCTCCCAGGAGTCCAGCCTCTGCAGTGGGGCGCACGCGGGGCTCGTGGGGGGAGACCGGGGGCAGCGGCGAAGGTCCACTAGGTTGCAGTACACAGGGTGCTCTGACATGAGGGGCTGGGGTCTTGCCTGCCAGGAAAGGGGGGAGAAGAAGATAGTTATTCTGCCTGTGTGCCTCCCCAGTCTTCTCTCCGCCTAACCACCTCCTCCTCTCTCCCCTACTCTTTCCTCACCCCCAGCTCCTGGCTGGGGTGACCCAGGTACTGGGGAAGAAACCCTAATCCCCAGCTAGTTTTTTTTTTAAACTCCCTCCCTCCGCTCTGCTTTTCTCCTCCTCACTTCCTGTTGCCAACTTCCCTTCTCCCCCACCCCGCCCCTACCCCAGGGCCTCAGGAAAGGGGAACAGGCTTTCTGTGTGTTGGGGAGGATGGTTGAGGGGAGCGCTCCACCCTCACCCTCTCCTCTGTGAAAGGGAAGAGAGGGAGAGGGCTCAGGGACCCTTACTAGGGGAGCATGAGAGAGGAGGGGCCGCTTTAATCCACCAGTAAGTAAGAGAGGGGAGGAGCTAAGTCTTCCAGAAGAGCGAGGAAGTTACATCTCTAAATGGGACTTGCTGGTGACCTAAGCTGGCAAGAGGGGACACAGGAAAAACCCTGCCCTGGGCCAGGAGTCAGGAGGTAGAGAGAAAAACATAGCTGGTTGACCTTCTTTCAGTCCCCCATCACCTGCCAGGTTCCCGTATCCTTGGGACCTTTGCCATGTGCTATCCCTTGGCTAGAATTCCTTTTCATTCCAGGGTTTGGTTCCCTGCTATTTCCTCCTTTTCCTTATTCAGATTCAGCTAAATGCCATTTCCTGGGAGACGCCTTCCCAGATCACCTCCATCACTCTCTTAGCCCATTTATGCTTCTTGGTAGCACTTAGCAGCACCATCTGGTACGGGTCTCTGTTTGTCACCCCCGTGGGAATCCCGTGAGGGCAGAGAGTCTGTCTGCCTTGTCTGTGGTCGCGTCTAGAACAGGTCCGGCAGTCAATAACCGCTCACTGTGTTCAGAGGGGCCTGTGACTCACCTTGTTGGCACCGGCCTCTGTCAGTAAGTCTTCCTGTGAGAGGGATCTGCCACTTGCTCCTTCCTGGAAGGGCTTCAGGAGGCTAGGCCTCAAATTGGTAACACTGACACTTCTACACATTTTGGGGGGAAGAGGAGGAGGCTGCTTAGAGCTTGTCTGGGTTCTGCCTGGGGCTTCCTGAGGCAGTTGCAGCTCCTCCCTGGAGCCAAGATGCAACTTTGGCCCTGGAAACAGAGAAATGGAAAGGGTGAGGATAGGTGATCAGAGGGGTGATCTTGGCTGGATCCCTCATCCTGGGAAGTCACAAGGAAGACAAGAGCAGGGGTGGCTATGGGGAAGTACACGAGACCTAGAAAGTTTAGACTAGGAAGAGAGGCAATGGGGACCTGGTGATGGGGGTGAAGAGTAAGCTGATCAGAGGGAAATAAGAGAAGAGGGTCACCAGATGCTTGGAGGAAGGGAGATCCTTCCAGAAATTCCTGGAAGCCATGGAGGTAGGAAGGGGAAGGGAGTACTCACCAGGAGTCCAGAGGGATTGGCTGGGATTGGTGGTGGTTGGGCTCTGGGAAGGGCTAGATTCCTCTGTCACGTAGGCAGCTGGGACAAAGATGGGTCGAGAAGTGGCGGGTGCTCCCAGGCGCCTTGCCAACCACCAGTCTGAGTTGGTCTTTCGAAGCAGTAGAAACCTATCCCCTTCAGCCAGGGACACTTGTCGGCCATCTGCCCCAGTGTAAGTGAAGGCATAGAGGGCACACAGCTGGGATCCCCGAGAAGGGTTTTGGGGCCCCAGTCCAAGGTTCCCCCGGGTACTTGACCACCACCGGCCTGACAGCATTGCAGGCAATACTGTCACCTGTGGGAAGAAGGGGTGCTGGAGATCCAGAAAAGGACATGACTGGCTGCTTCCAAGCAGAGAGACATGGTTCGAAGAGCAGCGTGGGGGGGGATGTAGGGACGGAAACCTTGGAATGAGAGCAGAGGGTAAAGCAGAGAGCCTGGGTAGGGGTCAGTGGCAGGTTTAGGGGACTGAGAACTCCTGGGTGATGTGACTGGGGAGGAAGTATATAAGTAAGGTGGGAGAGGATGTGGTCAGCAGAGCTCTGGGGCCAGCAGGGCAGGAAATCAGAGGAGACAGGCTAGCTGGTGATTTTCCTCCAAGTACCTTCTGGGGCCCATCAGGAGATCCACGGGCAGGAGCAGGTGGTCCCGGGTGGCGGTAGGACTTTTGAGCTGGACGCAGGAAGATGAGGAGAAAGAATCAGGTCCGAGACGGAACACAGAGGCAAAGAGGCAGGAATTAAAGACAAAAATGAAAACAAAGTTTGTGACCTTTATTAAATTTACACAGGCACCAGTGTTTCCGTTACCAATAGCCTCAGACCTAAAGTTGCGTGCTTCCTGTGCAGCCTCGGAGAGAAAGAGCGACAGAGAAACCAGAGCCAGAGAAATAATAAGACTAAAGTAGAGAGAAAGAGAAAGTGGCCGGGAGAAACACAAAGGGGTTCCATGTCAGAGGAAGAGGTGAAAATACCACCATCCTCTCAATCCAAGCAAGATGTGTTTGGGGAGCGGAGAGGCCTTGAAACAATCCTTTGTACTTAAGTGTCCTGGGCAGAGCCCTACTTCAGCATGTGGGCCCCTTCTTTCATGCTCTGAACAAGGATTGGCTGAGCGCCCCCTGGGTGAAAGGAACAGTGTTACCCACTGAGATATGGGGGGGGGGGGAGATAGACACAGGTCTTGCCCTCTTGGAGCTTAGGGACAGCTCTTAACTAATGACACAATGCATTTATTAATTATGACTGAATCAAGGACTCTAGACACACATTACGGGGTGCTCTCACAGCATATGGGGAGATCGGGGACTGATGTTGGCTTTTCCTTGGTGGAAGGTGGGAACTGACTTCCCCTGTTGATTGTCGGAGCTTTAAAACACACATTAATGCTTCCACCTTACCTAACCACTCTTGTTTTCCCCTTTTGTCAGTTTCCCCACTGCACAAGGTGAGGTTCTGTCTGGCTTTGGAGAGGTAGGGTAGGAACTGCCCCCCCCCCTTGGTGACATCAAAGAGCCAGCTCTCCTCCCCTGACCTGTGATCTGAGGGCTGGTTCCCAGTACTGGGATTTGTACTGGGATTCCGCCTCAGTGACCTTCTGTCCTCAGTGGGCTCCACTTTCAACATATGGAGAACCCTACCCCTCAGCTATTCCTTCCTGCCTCCACAAGAGTCAGCGACTTTATCCCATTCGCTCATCATTCATTCATCTGGGGTTTGTAAGTGCTCAGAGCTCTTCCTCTCTGCCTTATCGCCGGCCGGCCGGCCGACTCTCTTGCACTTTATCCTCTCCCTTTTTATTGCCTCCTTCCCCTTGGCGTTTGAACATATTCAAGTCTTAGCCATCTGTAGCCAAACTTCCCTTTACTATCCTCCTTGGTTACCATCCTATCCCTCTCTTCTCCTCTTTACAGTCAAACTTCTTTTTAAAAAAAAATGATTTCTTTATTATTTATTTGTTTGTTTATTTATGATAGACAGAGAGAGAGAGAGAGAGAGAGGCAGAGACACAGGAGGAGGGAGAAGCAGGCTCCACGCTGGTAGCCTGATGTCGGACTCAATCCTGATCCAGGGGATCCTGATCCGGGGACTCCAGGATTCCGCCCTGGGCCAAAGGCAGGCGCTAAACCGTGGAGCCACCCAGGGATCCCCCTACAGTCAAACTTTTTGAAAGAGTTGCCTACTATGGGGGGGGGGGTCTCCATTTCCTCTCACCTCTGCAAGGTCCCTCCTCACTAGGGTCACTTTGACTTTACAGGGATACTTCACAGTCCTTAGGCTGGTTGACATCTCAGGGGCAGCCAACACAATGGACTATTCTCACCTTCTACAAACACTGCTGGTGTCCTTCTTACCTTCTTAGCAGTCCCTTCTCCAATGCCTAAGGAAGGACTTCACTTGTTTCTTAGGCCCCAGAGGTCTGTCATAGATTTTGTGCCCTTTGCACTCCATACACTCTGTGTGGTCTTATTTTCTTCCCAGCTTAAATGACCTCCATATGCTGCTGAGTACCCTATCTCTGGTCCGGATCTTTCTCTGGAGCTCTAGTTTAATCCACTCTCCACTCTCCACTGAAAAACTCCACGTGGATATATCACAATACCCAAAGTAGTACAAACACAGTATGTTCTAAATGGAACTTTCCGCTTCCCCCACAAAACTGTTTCTCCTCCAGTACCACTTTTTGGTTAAATTTAAGTTCAGGGGCAGCCTGGGTGGCTCAGTGGTTTAGCGCCTACCTTCAGCCCAGGGCCTGATCCTGGAGACCTGGGATCAAGTCCCACATCAGGCTCCCTGCATGGAGCCTGCTTCTCCCTCTGCCTGTGTCTCTGCCTCTCTCTCTCTCTCTCTCTCTCCCTGTCTCTCATGAATAAATAAATAAAATCTTTTTAAAAATTAAAAAATTTAAGTTCAATAAATATTTGTTGAACACTTGCTACCATATGTGCTAGGCAGTAACCAACGTGCTAGGCATTGTCAATTAAGAAGATAAATATGGCCCCTGCCATGTCATAAGAAAATGCATCATGATAATCACTATGATAGGGCAAATACTATCACCTGTTGGTGCACATGCAGGGTATACCCAATTGTCCATGCCAGAAGCCTGGCAGCCAACCTTAATTTCTCCTGTTTTCTTACCACACCTATTTAACTGATTACTATATCTTTTCAATCTACCTACTTCCTTTAATCTCTACAACTATCATCTTTAGTCTGGATGATATAGCCTCCGAACTAGTCTCTCTGCATATGGTTCTGCTCACCTCTAGTCCACTGTCGGCATAGCAGCCAGAGTGACCTTCCGAAAGCACAAAAATGCCTTGCCATGTATGTCCCTGACTTAACCTTTTAAAGCCTTCTCATTGTCCTCAGAGTCAAGTCCAAATTTTACAGTATGGTTTACAGAGACTTTCTCCCTCGAGCCTAGCCTTTTCATGCTTCCTACCACAAACTCCATACTCTTGCCACACTCTAATTCCTCACATTCCTAAAGTGCACTGAGGTCTCCTGTCCTTTCCATGTTTTTTCCCTTCTGCCTGAAACACTTCCTCTCCAATCCCACCAATCTTCACTGGCTAACTCTTATCATTCTGATCTCAGCTGAAAGGTTATTTGCACAAGAAGGCCTCTCTTAACTACTTAGAATTGGGTAGGGGCCCTAAATAAGAGCTCCCATGGCAAGTTTTACATTGCCCATTATGACTTTCATGAAACTTAATATATATATATATATATATATATATATATATATATATATATATATATATATAATTTTACTTATGAGGAAGTCTATGAGCGCTGCCAAGGCATAAACGTGTATCTATTTGGTTGATAATTGTATCTTCAGTGCTTCATACAGTCCCTGGCACAAAGTAAACTCCCTGTGCCTCAGTTTCCTCATCTATAAAACAAGAATGAGAGAAACAAGCTCATTTTTTGTATTTTCTTAAATAACCTTTTTCTTATATCTCACAATTTTATGGAACAGAAGTTTGGATAGGGCTCAGCTGGGTGATTCTTCTATCCCATGTGGCATTGGCTAGGGTCGCTTAGTGATATTCAGCAGGCAGATGGGTTGGTCTGGAGAGCTTCACTCACATATCTGACTCCTTGATCGGAACGGTTGGAATGCCAGGATCAGCTGGAGCTGTCAGCCAGAGTGTCAACATGAGACCTCTCCAGCATGGCAGTCTCAAGGTAGTGAGACTTCTTACTTGGCTGCTCAGACCTACTGGAGTGTTCCAAGAAGCCTGGGCAGAAGCTGCAAGGCCTCACTTCAACAGGTCCAGAACCTCCATGGGGTTTTTTGAGAATTAATATATACATTAAAGTACTTAGAACAGTGTCTAATTCATGAGCACTATAAGGTATTATTCTTTTTTTCTTTAAGTTTATTTATTTGCTTATTTATTTTTTTAAAGATTTCATTTATCTATTCATGGGAGAGAGAGATAGAAAGAGAGAGAGAGAGAGAGAGAGAGAGGGGCAGAGACACAGGCAGAGGGAGAAGCAGGCTCCCTTCAGGAAGCCTGACCTGAACCCGGGCCCAGGATTCTGGGATCATGCTCAGAGCCAAAGGCAGACGATCAACCACTGAGCCACCCAGGCGTCTCTAAGTTTGTTTATTTATTTTAAGTGTATTTATTTAAGTAATCTCTACACCCAACACGGGGCTGGAACTCATGATCCCAAGATCAAGCCATGTGCTCGTCTGATTGAGCCAGCCAGGTGCCCCAGATATTAATCATTCTTAAAGGGATGCAAAAATGAGTAAGAAGGAGCCCTTTCTCAATTACTGATACACGCCTCCTCATAAAATATATACTTACTGCCAAACTCTTAGCCTTCTTACTTCCTTCCCTCGGTCTGACCTTCTCGCTGCGTGAGCTGCCCCTCACCTTCAATGAAACTGTCTAGCTGCAGAATGGTATCAAATTAGTATTTAATAGTCCCATGCGGGGGATCCCTGGGTGGCGCAGTGGTTTGGCGCCTGCCTTTGGCCCAGGGCTCGATCCTGGAGACCCGGGATCGAATCCCACGTCGGGCTCCCGGTGCATGGAGCCTGCTTCTCCCTCTGCCTGTGTCTCTGCCTCTCTCTCTCTCTCTCTCTCTCTCTGTGACTATCATAAATAAAAAAAAAATAGTCCCATGCTTTTTTATTAACAGGATACCTACTTTAATTTCCATTGTGTCACTAAAGTAAGTTCATGGTGAGTCTCAACTGTATAATCCCCTTCTTTTTTATTAACAGGATACCTACTTTAATTTCCATTGT